GGAATTACGAATACTGCATATAAATGGTTTGAAAGCTATTTGTCTGACAGAACTCAACGGACTGTTTTTAATGATTCTGTGTCCAGTTCCGTGGGGAATAACTTTGCCCAAGTAACATTTCCAGTTTTATAGAGGTTTTATAGCATTCTATAAGTCTACAGAACCTTCATAAAACCAAAATTGATACTTGGGTGGAGTGCCCCAGGGAAGTGTATTAGCGCCCCTGTTATTTATTATGTATAGTAATGACTTGCGACGTGTTTTAAGATTTTGCGACATTAATCTTTTTGCAGATGATACTGTGTTATTCATTGCAGCAAAGGATTTAGATGATGCCGTTTTACACTTGAATGAAGATTTGCGTTCTCTAAGTAGATGGTTGAAGTATAAGCAGTTGAAATTGAATACAAGTAAAACTAACTTTATGGTAATTTCGCGGAATCGAGTAAATGAGAACGTCTCAGTTGTAATTGGTGATGGCGTTCGCGAGATTAAATATCTTGGCGTGATTATTGAACTTTAATTGAAATTTAAGTTCAACTCTCACATTGACAATGTCATCAAGAAAATTGCCAAGAAGTATGGAATTCTATGTCGAACTATGAAAAACGATTTAACTATTGCCAGTAAAATACAGCTGGACAAATCAATCATCTCTCCTCATCTAGACTTTTGCCCTTCCATTTTATTTTGGCCAATGCAAAACAAATATCGAGATTACAGCTCTTGCAGAATAAAATAATGCGTTTGATTTTGAGATGTAATAGATTCACTTCCTCAACTTGAGATGTAATAGATTCACTTCCGCCTTACAATGGTTATCGGTGAAGCAAAGAATTGTATATTTGACTATGGTGTTCATTTTTAAAGTAGTTAACGGTTTGCTGCCTCGATATTTGTGTGATTGAATTGAAAGAGGAAGTGATTTTCATAAATATAATACTAGAAACGCGGTTGAAATAAGAACACCACATTTCTTGACTTGTGCTTCACAACATTCATTATATAATAAAGGAATAAATGTTTTCAATTCGATGCCTAGACATATCAAACGTTCAGAAACACTAACAGAATTTTAAAAAAACTCTGCATTTCACACGTTAAATCTGTCTTTTGAACAGTTATCCAGTGATTTTTTTTTATGAATTGACAAATTATGTACCATGACGAAGTTATCTCTAACGGATTATTTTATATGGATAGCTGTCATAATAACATTTTAATAATTATTGTAGCACTGCAAAAACTATTTCTGTTCATAGTTGAAGATGCTAACTTTCAAATAACAGACTGTAGTGGTAATTTTTATATGATAGATGGAGTAGATGAAAGTATAGGAATGATAGTTCCGTTTGAGTACGGCAGTGTGAAAATTGCATATAGATAGTAGAATAGCGAGCTAGGACAACTTTTAAAGGAAGGTACAAATCGGTTTTTTCATCTCTCTTTACCAAACTCCCCATTTGGAGAGGGATGGTGAGGGGTGTCCCCCCCTCCGGACCTCGAGAAAACCTTTAAGGACTTAATTAAAGCAAAAAAATGCGGTTAATGGCGTCGGTTCGTCGATGGTTTGTCGCGTGAGACTTCCATGAGAACACTCTGGAATGTCGGCAGGAGAATGCGAAATGCGTCATCACCGATTAACGAAGACAAGGAGTACTCGGACAGTTGGATATTCAGCTTCGCGCGGAATGTTTGCCCGGATTCGGTGTCGGTTCAAACCAACGTTCGGGATCGTCCGTCGGGTAATAACGAAATAGATTCCCCGTTTTCGAAGGTGGAATTCTCACTTGCTCTCCTTTCATGTAACAATTCAGCTCCAGCAATGGATAGAATCAAGTTCAACTTGCTTAAAAATCTCCCAGATGTCGCTAAGAGACGCTTGTTGAACTTATTCAATCAATTTCTGGAGCACAACATTGTTCCGGATGACAGGAGGCAAGTAAGAGTTATCGTCATTCAAAAACCCGGTAAACCCGCGTCGGATTATAACTCGTACCGTCCCATCGCGATGCTGTCCTGTATACGGAAATTGTTGGAGAAAATGATTCTTTTTCGTCTAGACAGGTCGAGTCGAACGGTTTACTTTCAGATACGCAATTTGGATTTCGGAGAGGCAAAGGAACGAGCGACTGTCTTGCGTTGCTTTCAACTGAAATTCAACTGGCCTATGCGCAAAAACAGCAAATGGGTTCAGTTTTCTTGGACATTAAGGGGGCTTTTGATTCTGTTTGTATCGATGTCCTTTCGGATAAACTCCATGATAGTGGGCTTTCACCAATTATCAACAACTATTTGAGCAACTTGTTGTCTGAGAAATATATGAGCTTTTCTCATGGAAACTCGACATCAGGTTGTACGGAACAACCATCTTGTCGGTTCTAGAGTACGGTAGCTTCTGCTTTCAATCCTCGGCAAAGACACATATCTTGAAGCTGCAACGGGTTCAATACCGTTGCCTCCGAATCGTGCTTGGCTGTATGCACTCGACGCATACGATGAGCCTCGAAGTACTCACGGGTGTTCTCCCACTGACAGATCGTTTTGCGGAACTGTCCTTCCGGTTTCTTATCCGTTGTAAAGTAATGAACCCATTGATAATAGAAAACTTTGAGGAGCTGCTCGACGGAAATCCTCAAACAAGATTCATGAATCTCTATTACGAGTACATGACACTGGAGATTGGTCCTTCTTCATTCAATTCCTCTAGTGTTTGCCTCCAAGACTTTTATAGTTCCTCTGTAAATTTTGATCTGACCATGTTGCAAGAAATCCGTGGAATACCAGATCACCTTCGGTCGATGGTTGTTCCCTTAATTTTTGCAAACAAGTACCACCATGTCAGTAACAATAAGAGTTTTTTCACAGATGGGTGAACTATAAACGCTTCCACTGGATTTGGAGTATTCAACGAATTTCATAGCGCCTCATATCAACTGCAAAACCCCTGTTCCGTATACGTTGCGGAACTAGCAGCCATATTTTACGCAGTAGAGCAAATTGCCTCACTACCATCTGGTCACTATTTTATTTTTACAGATAGCCTTAGCTCGTTGGAGGCTATTCGATCAATGAGGCCGATGAAGCACTCCTCGTATTTCCTGACCGAAATCCGAGCAAAATTGAGTACTTTATCTAACTGCGCCTATACTATCACCTTAGTTTGGGTTCCATCTCATTGCTCAATTCCGCGGACTCGCTAGCTAAGGTGGGCGCTATGGAAGGCGATATTTTTGATTGACAAATCGCCTTTGCGGAATTTTTCTCAATTACCCGTCAGCACGTCCTCACCAACTGGCAACAAAAATGGAATGAGAGTGATCTGGGAAGATGGTTACATTCTATTCTCCCACAGGTGTCGAACAAGCCATGGTTCAAAGGATTGGACATGAGCCGTGACTTTATACGTGTAATATCAAGGCTCATGTCCAATCACTACTCGTTAGACTCGCATTTCTTACGAATCGGGCTCGCAGGCAGCAATTTGTGCGCTTGTGGTAGTGGCTATCACGATATCGACCACGTGCTTTGGTCATGCACTTTACATTGTGTTGCAAGATCCGAGTTATCCACATCCTTCAGAGCCCGAGAAAAATAACCTATGCGTTAGAGACATCTTGGCGAGCCGAGATCTCGAATATTTTAATTTAATTTATGTGTTTTTAAAACGGGTCGATCTGAGGATTTAGTAGTTAGTGTCATCTTGTGTTCCCCCAAGTTGTTAGCAGCCCATCGGTGTACCCCCATGTTTGTCTTTTTCATCAGTTGGTCGCTTAGTTCGAGATAAAAAAGCACATTGCTCTCGAAACCTTGTGTTCTAAATCCCTACCCTGCCATCCATTTGTTACAATTTGCTACCCTTAACCTCGAGATAGCCGCGATTAAGCGGCCCCCGCTTTACTAACGTTAGTTTTAAGCAATTTTGTAATCTAAACAATGAATATCGGCTCCGCAAAGCTACGGCAAATGAGCCTGAAAAAAAACGCATTAAAAAAAACCTGGTTATAATGTCATATTTAATTATCTTAAAGATAAATCGTCCAGCTCAAACCGTTGTAGGGGTAAGAGGTGGAACCATCATCATCATCATCATCATTTCGCTCATTATGGCTTTCAATCACTTGCATCGATACTGTCACCTGCTTTGTCAATTTTTTAAATGTGCGTTATGTCCCATTTTCGCTACTTTGTTTTATGGATAGAATATAAATTGAAGATATTACGTATGATATTCAAATGTGTCACTCGAGAAATGCTTTAAATATATGTTTTCATTTTTCGTCATATACACCATGGAACCTGGGTTGATGTGTTTCATGAAAGACGAAACTATCAAAGTCGAGTGCTGTTTCACTCGTCCGCTTCACCGAAGCTTGAATGAAAAACGAATGAAGCAACGGGGGAAAGAGAGACCAACGATTGAAAATTTGTTTGTTGACGTCGACTGAGGTACTAGAATGCTGTGAAGCTGCCCGACTTCAACAGAAAAAGAAAGCTAGCAGTCTATTCGTCGCCTCGATTTTGTCGATTGAAGCTGATATTGTGACCAGTGCTGATTGTGACGTCCTGGTTGGCATCTGCCATTTCCATCTCATCCCCTCTCTATTTCGAAACCTGGCTACGCCCTTGAATCAAACATCGAAATGCTACTGTTCCACCTTCAACGTGCGAAATGTCATGAACACCATTAAATGTTTGTAACGCACTGTTTCCTGTAATGAGGTGCAACTCCTTACCATTCAAAAAAGATCAATTTCACCTAAATCTAGTAAGCCTCACGCTTGGATGTGCATATCGGATAGACCAGGATAGAGTAGGATTAAAGCGATAACACTGATTAAATACGATGCCAACACGTTGAAACTGCTGGTCGAGTTTCCTGTGAAGGCAGCCAACGTCGACAGCAGAACAAAAAAGGCCCATAACAGCAAGGGGTAGAGACAGAATGCGAAAGAAGATTCCGGTAGACAGATAAAAACCGGTCCCAAAACTGTACTCACCGAAATCCGGACAGATACTGCAGCACATAGCCGGCCAGCAGCAGCATTAGCACCATGATCGACTGCAAGTGTCCCAGCAGGGTACAAAGGTCCACATCGACTGCGTTTGGCCGCAGTCCAACCAAGCCCAGGATGCAGACGTACGGTCGAAGGAACTGAACCCGGGTCGGAGTTGGTTGTTTGGGTGGAGTCGTCGTCGTCGTCGTTGGCGGTCGGTTGATGTTGGTGCGGCATCGTTTTCAGTGGAAATTTATGGGTTTTTCGGTTGTTATTTTTCCCATGCGCGTTCAAACTGGAGAGAGCCGAAATGAAAACAATTTTATTGCTGTGGAAGTTTGTGTTTGAATTTTTTTCCGTGAATAATTTTTAAATACTTACCAGTCGGAGACGAAGAGAAAAACGGTTCATTTTACCAGACGATATTTTCACGCCCCATTTCAGGTCCAGACGGAAACGGAAGATGGCCATTTGAGGTAGGAAGATGTAAAATGAAAATGATACAGAATAATGGGTTAATAACGTCATAACGGAGCGATTATAATAATGATACAGTTTCTTTTAAGAACAAAATCGGAATCGTAGCATCGTGATGTATCAAATGAGATGAAATTGCTCAGTTCCTTAAACATGCATCCATCAACGCTTCTTAGCCTTATGACTTCAATGTACTTACTAGTGTCAGTTTTCTCTTTAGCAAAGCCCAACGAACCGAAAGTTTTACGACAGCTTTCAGTGGTTTCATATATTGCTGCTTTCCAAGTTAAGAATCAAGCAAAAACCGGAGAAAACTTTACAGGGAATAACTCCACTTTGTTGCAGAATGTTTCAATGCGAAACCGCTTCGCAGCATATCAAGCGAAGTATAAAATGCTTCACGAGCTGCAAATGAACTTTTTCATCCCTTTGCACTCTATAGAGGAAAATAATGAGGGAGAATGCTTCGCTCTGAGGGGCTGCATCATGTACAGAACCTGTAAGCTGGTGAAAAACGAATCGCTTCACTCGTCGTCGTCGTTGTCGAGAGTGTGCATACTCTATGGCTGCACTTCAAATTTATATATCTTTCTCTAGCTGTATGATGCATGCGTTAACTTTTTCGGTGGAACCCCGAAGGTCGTTTTTCCTAGTGAGGTGATGTGAAAGAAGACGGTTCGAAAAAAAATGGTAAACATTTTCGACTCAACTTTATTCAACCCATCATACGTAGATAAAATGTATCCAGTAAGCAGGGCTGCAGACTAATTTCCCTCGGCTGACTGGGCTAAAGAGCTTAACAGGAGCTCAAAGCGCAGGGTAAACTTTGCCGTAAAATACTGACTCGTTTATATATGTACAATCATAGGGAAAAATACGGATTCTCTGGTCGTGGCAGGAAAAGTGTTAGCATCCAAGAGCGAACAGCTTCCGCGTCGAGTGGAAAAGTAAAGAGCTTTGCAGCAGACGCTAAGTGTGCTATAATTTGAAGGTGGATAAAATGAGCTTCATTTCATACTCAAAAATAAGCACATGTGATAATACTTTTTCTAACGACGGTGAAAATTCATGATATGCATGTTGTGCTGTTGCAATCAGCTTATGTTGCTTTCCAGTGGAGTATATACTTCTTATGCAAAAAAAAGAGTTTGCCACCCAATGTGTTTTTATTTATTGGTATAACATATTATGAGATTTTTAATTTTTCAATAGAAAATAATGCTGAACCTCTGAATACTTTCTCAGGTTCTAAGTCAACCATTTTGAATTTTTCGTGGTCAGCACAACTATACCCCTACGTCGTGGTAAGCACAACTACCCACTGGAACTTTACGCCGGTTCTCTACATAGTGTTCGTTGAGCACTTTCACGGTTGTTAATTGAGTGCTTTCTAAGCCTCTACCATTTTTGAATTTGTATAATTTTCCAACCGAAACATTCTTAGACCGGATCGGGAATATCCAGCCAGCTTTATCGACTGAGATAAGGGACAATCTTACCCTATGTCCGTTGCGTTCGTTTGGCGTCGGTTAGAGGAGAAAGGGTGAAGGGAGAGTGTTGTCGATAACAGCAAATTCACCTACACACCAGTCGTCCAGCAACAACTGCTTCTGATTCCTAAGGAAATATTAGTAGTACGTACCAGCTATTTGCTGCTTACCAGCAACGTTTGGAGACACTAAGTAAAATTTCCTTCTGACCCACCATTCAATTTTTACCAGACAGACACACCGGATGTTGATACTCGTCAGGTCTGTTTACGATTTGAACTACACTAAAAAAATTCCACACGTTTGATCGAAGTGTTTAAACACTTGATTTTTTAAGTGCACAATCACATTTACTTTAAGTGTATACAATTGGTTCAATGTGTTGTACACGTTAATTTATAGTGTATCAAACAGTGCGTAAGACAGTCTGGTTCATTGAGTCGTTTTGATATGAATATGAACTGCCACCTGCCTCATCATTCACTGCCTCGTGAGAGTCTGAATGATTGAGAGGTAAACGAGTCACTGACAGCCGAGCACTCAGTCAGTATCTCAGTCAACACGTTTATTCTGCCGTGATGGTACCCAATATTTGTTTTGAATGACTGAGCGTACATTTTCTATGGAAAAATGACTCAATTAAATGCTGTGTGAGCGAAGGCAAGCGGTGTGCGTCGCCTACTCGTGAGTGACTGAATGTTTATGTTGGCTCTTTCATTGCCTCGTCCTTTATCGTTTGGTACAAACGGTCTGCACAGAGAAATGGATTGAATAGGGCAGTGCTTTCACACTCAGCCTAGGCAGTCAATAATTTTACGCTCTGGTTTCAAACTTTGAAATGTTGAAAATCTTTCACTATTTATTCAAGTGTATTGCACATTGAATCACACTACTGTTCAAACCAGATGAATTTGAAGTGTTCTGCATTTCAATGCGATGTGAATGCTTACTCAGAAAGGTAAACATCGAAAACAAGACTTGTGACATTATCCTATCAACCCGCCTCATATAGGAGAACAACCGTGGCACAGTGAGATCGATCGAAGACTCCGGCAGCAGCACATCCCAACAGTTCATGATCGAATACCAAATCAGACCCATTTAAAACATATGTGAAAGCTCTGACCTCTGGCAGTTTTGTTTTATATATTTGTCGATTCATTTTTAGAGTAGCTAAAGTAGAATAATGTAGAATATTGAACTATGATGTGCAAAGCTATTGATATCACCAAATGAGGCACAAAGAATCCAAGTGTGTCACAATTCAAATCCATAGTGTTCAGGAATGGTTCATAGCATAAGATTCACGCATGAAAAGGATGTGTTTCACAATAAGCGCAAAATTAAGTAAAAGACACATGATGATGACGTGCGGAATTTTTTGAGTGTACTGCACTGGAAAACGTTTTGGCTGCTTGCTACAGATTCACATGGTTTTAAATTTTATTTAAATAAGCGGCGCCGGTGGTGTAGTGATAAGCGTGATTACTTCTGACCCCAGCAGGCCTGGGTTCAATCCCAGTCGGCGCCGCCGGGATGTTCTGAGGCATAACATCTCTGAGCACGCCTTCCTTCGGAAGGGAAGTAAAGCCTTTGGTCCCCGGTTCATGAGTTGATGGGTCGATAGTTAGGGTCCAGGTGTGGGAGCTGCCTCCCTGGCGTCGGTAGCATTGGTGCTCAGCACGGAAAACAAGATCGACGGAAAACAAATCAAGGAAAAAAAATGATTTAAAAGAATGTGTAAAATTAACCAGATGCCACTAATTATTTGAAAAATTGCATATGATTATTATTCATCATCACCCCTCACCATCCCTCTCCAAAGGAGGAGTTTGGTAAAGAGAGATGATAAAACCGATTTGTACCTTCCTTAAAAGTTGTCCTAGCTCGTTCGCTGTCTACTCTCTATATGCAATTTTCACACTGCCGTACTCTAAACAAAACTATCAATTCTATACTTTCATCTCCTCCTCATCTATCGTATAAAAATTAACACTTCAGTCTGTTATTTGAAATAACCATCTTCAACTATGTAAATCGTTGACTTCCCGCAGAAGTAATACTAAACATATAGTCAAAGTCATATTCAGTGTTGGAAAAATATCATTAAGTCAAATCTCACCAACGCCAATGCCCAAGATCACGCTTGATTTCCGTAGAGAAAAATCAACAAGCAAACAACTGCGGTTGGTTTTGCAAGCTGTGATGTTGCAACTCGGAATATCTAGCTAACAAAACTGACCAGCTGCAAATCTCTCCAAACTATGGTGAGATTGAGTTTCATGATTTTTGCTTTAATCCGAACGCAACCGAAACTTCCATAACAACTGGCAACCAGGCATGGAAAATCATTTACATTCATTTCATGCATTCATTTACATTCATTTGCCTCTAACGTTTTTCATCAACAGCATTCTGTAAAATGATTTATAGAGTTTTTGTAGGTTTTGTTATGAGCTACAACTTTTGTGAAAAACTCAAATATGTATCTCTTATGCATCTCGAATAAGAGCGGGCATAACTCGTTACTGTTTTTCAGTGAATGTAAAATACATTCACTGAAAAACAGTAGTGGATTCTGTTTGCTCTGGTTCGTCATGCATAAGAGATACAGATTTGAGCTTCTGACAAAAGTTGTAGTTAATAACAAAACCTACAAAAGCTCAATACACTATTTTGCGGAATTCTATTGATGAAAAAAGTTAGGGGCAAATGAATGTAAATGAATGCAAATGATTTTCCATGCCTGCTGGCAGCAGTCCCTTCGTGTCTGCCATCGACGAAGATTAAAAAGAGATAGCAAACTATTCTTTCTCTTTCTAAGAAAACGATGTGAACTGGAATCATTTTTGTGTCGAGTCAGCTCTCAGCTTGATTTTTTTTATCGTTGTAAATAGTCTCGCAATATCAAAAGAGCTTGTTAAATCAATATCAAGCATGGTATTTTGTTCCAATATCACGCGTGATATTGAGAGCGTATGAGAGCGAAAAAATATTATTTGATTGATGATTTTGCCAACACTGCTCATAGACTGAGTAAATCTTTACGAGATTTTACAAGAATTTGTTTTATAATATGAGCATCATCTCGATGTACACTCATACAATAAATCATATAACCAGTGTAAAGTATCCAAGTGAATTTTACATAACTTTCATGTGATCATATAATATAATCCCATCATTAAATC